GGAGGCGAGCCCCGGAAGGGTCCCCTGGGCGGGGAGGGGGCTTGGCCGAGGCTGGCTCGGAGCCCGCGTGTAGGCGTACATCGAGGCCGAGCTCGACGAGGCCGAGGGGGCGGACATCCTCCTCGTCAAGCCAGGCCCGCCCCAAACCCTAGCCGAGACCCCCTCTTCACGTTCGGGTCCAAAAAAGGCGGCGGAGGAGGAGGCGGAAAGGCAAAAAGGCGCCAAAGGAGAGGAAGAGACGTGGCCGAGCGCCCGCCTGCCCACGCCCCCCCTCCCCACAGCACGACCCGGCCCCCCGTCCCGACCCCACCAGGCCTGCCCTACCTTGACGTGGTCCACCGGTTCCGCCAGTTGACCAGCCTGCCCGTCGCAGCCTACCACGTTTCGGGTGGACCTTGCCCGGGCCTTGCCCCCCCCCCCCCCCTCCCTCCCCTCGCGCCGCTCCAGACCCCCCCCCGAATCCTCCCCCGCAGGCGAGTACTCGATGCTCAAGGCGGCGGCCGAGCGCGGCTGGCTCGACGAGCGCAAGGTCGCGCTCGAGACGCTGCTCTGCTTCCGCCGCGCGGGCGCCGACATCATCCTCACGTACTACGCGAAGCAGGCGAGCAAGTGGCTTATGGAGGAGCCGGACCTCTAAGAGAGAGGTCGGGCTGCAGGATACTCGCGAGGGTATGAGGGTCGCTCGCTCTCGCCAACATGGTTTTGCCACACGCTGACACGCACGCACCGTCGGGTATGGGTCGACGGGTATATTTGGGCGGGCCGGCCCGGCGGGGAGGGCACCTACGCGAGAGCGCGCGGCGTGGGGTTGCTGTTGGTTGTGTGTGTAAATTGCGCGAAAAAGCCGGAAAATATAATGCGATATCCGCCCCCCCCCCGCGCGGCCTCCGCGCTCGCCGCCTCCGGCTGCGCGATGTCGTGCGAACGAATCATCCACCGGATCCAGACATCACGAGCCTGAGATGTGAGAAACCTTATACCATTCCACCACCTCACACACACCCCTCCCCTAGGGCTAAGCAGTGCGCGAGCCCACCCGACTTCAGGCGAGACGTCGACCACTCCTCGGGAATAGTTCTGGTCAGCCTGCCGCACAGTGTGGCTGCACTCTCTAGACGCCCATCTAGAGGCGCGCGGCGCGGGCGGAGATGACTAGGGGGAGAAAAAAAGCGGAGATCCTAGAGCTCGCTGGGAGATGCGCGCAACCTAAACGCTAAAGTTGGGAATAGGGGAGAAGTGTTACTTTGTGTCAGTGTGAGGGGAGGGCGTACGCCGGCGTTTTTGCCTCGTTTGAAAACTGAACAGTTTTTTTCAATCATCGGACATCGCACAGCGCCCTCGTTAACGTATAACGTTATTAGTACATAGTAGATAGTAAACGCCACATCGTGCACCACACACGTGCTTCCAGAGGGCTCTCTTCTCACTCTTCTGGGCCTAAAATGAGCGTGAGCTGCCGGACGACTCGCTCACAGCTGGTACGACCGCTTCTCATAGCTGACCCCGGTGCACGGCTCCCTCACCAGCCCCTCCGCCTCGAGCGGCTCTGTGCGCGACTGGAAGCGCATGATGATTACCCGCCTCGGCCGGCTCGACCGGTTCGGCCCCGAGCAGTGCGGCAGCAGCGGGTGGTGCAGCGACAAACCGCCCGCGGGCATCTCGTACGCGACTGGCGCCGGTGCCGCCGGATCAGCCCGCCCGCCCGCCGCCGCCGTCGGTGCCCGCCGCCGCCGTCGCGACTTGCGCACCGCCCACGGCCGGCGCTGCGCCTGCGAGACGTCGACCTCGTACAGCGAGTACTTGTGGTAGAAGCGGAAGGTTGCGACGTCGGAGGCGGTGCGCAGCCGGCGGAAGGGGGCGCGGCCGGCGGCGTGCCTGCCAGGGAGCACCATCAGCCCGCCGCTCCCCTCGTCCACATCGTCGAGCGGCAGCCAGACCGTGCGGCACCGCCCGTCGCCGTCCACGTGCCACGGGACCGCCTCGCCGCCGCCGTCGCACGCGGGGGGCTTGAACGCGAGTTGGGTCGAGAAGAGGACGACGTCGGGGCCGACGTGCCTCCGGAGCATGTCGAGGAGGGCCGGCTGCGTCGCCAGCTCCCACATCCAGTTGCAGCCTCCGTGCGCGCCGCACACCCCCTCTGCGGCCTCGTGCAGCCCAAGGAGCCACTCGGGGTGGACGGCGTCGCTGCGGTGGGCGAGGGTGAAGTCGAACGCGGCGCGCAAGTAGTCGAGCGCCGGCCGGGAGAGGAAGCGAGGCAGGCACAGGAAGCCCTGCGCGTCGAAGGCCGCCTGGTGCGCCTCCGTCCAGCTGAAGCCGCGCGCCAGCCACTCCGCCGGCGGCGAGAGGGGAAAGGGAGGCGCGTCGACTGCGCAGTAGATGCAGCGTGGGAAGGGCGTCGGGCGGCCGCGGCAGAGCCAAGGCACCGCCATCGCGCCGCTGCCACCAGCGCCGCCGCCGCCGTCGGCCAGCCCGCGGATGTGGCTCATCTCGTGCGCCTGAAGCCCGCGCCGGTCGCAGTGCAGAGTCTCGCAGACGGCGCTCGCGCCGCGAATGTGCTCGAGGCAGTCGTCGACCAGCAGCGTCTCCTCCTTGCGCCAGCCGTGGGGTGCGAGGAGGCCACCGATTAGCGCGCCTTTGACTCCGGCGACGGCCACGCTCTCAGGACACTCGCGGCCGTAGACGCGCTCAAAA